TGTTCATTGCTTGCTGGAATTTTTACGGTTCCTTTCTTCTTTTGCTCCTTCCTCTGTGGTTGCATGACTGGGGTTAGTGGTATCCTTAGACTTCTTTATTTTTTGTGTATTTACTGGAGGTTTTAGCTTTGTGTTACCAGGAGGCTTACATACAACAGTTTATATTTATTCAGTCCATTTTAAGTTGATAACAACTTAGGTTTTAACATATTCTAAAGCTCTACAGTTTTATTGTCCCCACCCCCTCCACGTTTTAGGTTTTTAAAGTCACATGCTACATCTCTTTATTTTGTGTACATACTTACGTATCTCCACTAATTATTGTAGTTATAGTTATTTTTACTACCTTTGTCTTCAGCCTTCATATTAACTTTACAAGTGATCCGTTCACTACTGTTTTTTCATAGGAGTTGCTCCTAACTTGCACCCTTTGTTTTTAGCTGGAAAAGTCCCTCTTACACTTCTTGAGGTTGATGAACTTTAGCTTTTGCTTGTCTGCAAAACATTTTTCTCTCCAGTTCTGAATGATAAATTTGCCAGGTAGAATGTTCTTGGTTGGCCTTTTTTTTTTTTTTTTTTTTTTTTTTTTTTTTTTTTTTTTTTTTCTTTGAGCACTTTGCATATATCTGTTACTCCCTTCTGGCATAGAAAGTTTCTGCTGAAAAATCTGATCGTCTTCTGGGGTTTCCCTTGTACTTGTCCAGCTGGTCCAGTTCTGTTTTATTCCTTCTTCTGTGGATCTCTCCTCATGAAGTTTTCAGCTCAGCTACTGCATTCGTAAGCTCTGGGACTTTGTTTATTTAGAGACAGTGAGCAGGGGAGGGGCAGAAGGAGAGAGAAGGTTAAGCAGGCTCCGTGCCCAGGATGGAGCCCAGCTTGGGGCTTGATCTCACGAACCATGAGATCATGACCTGAGCTGAAATGAAGAGTTGGATGCTGAACCGACTGAGCCACCTGGGCGGCCCAGCTCTGATTCTTACTGGGTACTTGTTTCTATTTTCTGTCTCCTTGTGGAAGTCCTGTGTTAATCCATTCTCCTACCCAGTTCTGTGTGCACTTTTATGGCCATTATTTTAAACTCCTAACCAGAAAAAGCCCCTAAGAAAATAGAGCTAAGTGATACACCTAAATGTGTACCTTCCTCTTTCATTGAGAACATTATACCTCTGTCTCTTCACCTCCCTGGAGTCTGTGTTGGTTTTGATGCACTCGTTAAACCATGGCTTCTCTTGGTCTTAAAAGGTTAACCGCTTGTTGAAGACGAAACTTACTCAACCCTGCTCTACCTCTTGGTGGTCTCTCACACCTTTGTGATACTCGAGCAGCCTGTTTTATTTTCAGTGGCTCCCAGTGGTTAAGGTTGTGCCAAGAACCAGTCATGGTCTGAAAGGGGAGGATCTGCATGAGCATGGCAGTTCAGGCTGCTTAGATACTTTTAAAGTGAGCCAACATCTACAGTGCTGCTGGGACATAAGCATAAGCTGCGGGCCACCAGAGCCAGATGTCCCGGGGCTGGCAGACATAAAAACCATGGCCCTACATGTAGAAATGGCCCTTTGGGATCTCCTGGCTCTCTCTGGAGTGTGGCAGAGGAAGAGCTCAGAGGTAAGGCCTGCCCTGCTACGTCTTGCAAAAGGATTCCTGCCTGTCTTTAGATAGAGGTATGTTTCATTAGAAGATTTTCCCCTCACACCGCATCTGTGAAACCAAGTTAATAGGTCTCTTTCACTAAAAGATTGGGGTTCTTGGACTCTTGCCTTTTGCTTTGCCCTGGGGTGGGGGTGGGGGTAGCTGCCAACATTGGGTACCAGAGGAGGGTACCAGCTCCTGTCCAGGAGATACACTGGTGAGGTAGAGGGAAAGTGCATGATGCCTCCACCCCGGGGAGCACCCCAGCAGGCCTTTATAGAAGTGCGTCAGATGAGGCACCCGCCACTCAGGCTGAGCTTTTAATAAAACAAGTAAGCCTTTTTCACTTAAAGTCTGGGTGCCTCTCAGTCACTGCCCCTGTACTGGGTCCTGGGCCAAGACACCCCATTTTGCAGCTCACTACAGCCTTGTGGGGGTTCTTGGATGTGAGACTCGTTAGTTTTCCAAGTTAGATGTCTTAGGAACTCCTCTCTCGGCTGCAGGTCTTAAAACTTGGGGTGCCCGATGTGGGGCTCAAACCCTTCACTCCTCAGGGAGCATCTCCAGGTTTTGCGTTAACCTCCTGAACTGGAAGCACCAACCCAGGGGTGGGGTTTATGGTGAGAATGTGCCTCAGCCTCTCCTCTTGATGTGATGTTTTTTCCTCATTTGCCTCATGTGTAGAAGTCACTTAGCTAGTTTGGGGTCGTTGTTTTTTTTTTTTTTTTTTTTTTTCCTCCTGCAGAAATTGTTCTGTATATAGTTGTAGAATCAATGTGTCCTCAGCAGGTAAGTTCGGGACTTCCTCTTCTTCTTCTGTTAAGGACTCAGGGCTCCCCTGGTTAATCCAGGCTTATCTCCCCTTCTGAAGGGCAGCTGATTAGCAACATTAATCCCTTTTGCCAAGTAATGTAACATTTGGGGGATTAGGACGGGGACATCTCCAAGGGGCTGTTATTCTGCCTGATAAAGGACAGTTTTCATGGGTACATAACCGTGGGATCATAAAGCCATAGGATGCTGTTTGTAGTGCTTACCTGATAGGTCCCATCTTTTAGTCGAGTTTTGCATGACGGCTTTTTGGAAGTAACATGTTCACTGACACACAAAATCGGGTAGCTTTCCAGTATCTCCGACTCCAAGGTGTATTTAAATTATCTTCTTAACGAAGTACTTTCTTACCTTTACTGCCAGCCTTCTGCCCTTTCACACCTTGCATGGATTTTCTGTACTGCAAATGTCAGGAAATGCTCCACCTGTGTAGATAAAGATATTTCATGTCTTCTTTTCGTTTAGCAAGTTTTTAGAGGCGGCATGCCCAAGTGCTTCAGTCGGCGAAGCATCCGACTTTGGCTCAGGTCATGATCTCGGGGTTCTTGGGTTCGAGCCCCACATTGGGCTCTGTGATGACAGCTTTGGAGCCTGCTTTGGATGCTACGTCTGCCTCTCTCTCTCTCAAAAATAAACATTAAAATTTTAGAAATTTTTTAGAGGGTTTTTAGAGGCCTTGCTTCACATCCTTATGCATTAATAGGTCAGCCTTTGCACCCCAGCTTTTCTCCTTTTCCTAAATTACTCCACACACAACAACAGGGCCATACCTGGTAGCTCATGATGCAGCAGACATTTGGGCACAGGGAAGGGAAGCCTTGACTAGAATACTATTTTGTGTACTCGCATTTGCCCACCTTTGCTGCATGCGGGTTGGGTGGAGAACATACTTGGGAACTACAGTTCGGAACAGCTCCAATCACCTCTTTGTGGATACCCTGTGCTCGCATGGAAGATTTCATTTGTGTCAGTGTTTTGGTGGGTCCCTCCTCTTCACAAAGGAAGTCTGAAAAATTCTCATCATGGTTAAATGTCCGACTCTTTAAATACACTTTAAAAAGAAAAACTCTCATCTCTAAGCTTCTTTCTAGAACTGTAATTCCCTCCATGACAATATACATTTCCATGTGCCTTGAGACCCAGTAATCATGAAATTCCAGTCTAACTGGTTTGAATGAGGGCTACACATCCTTAGTGACTTCATCATCGAATCCGAAACATGGTATTCCACGGACATCCGTCCTGGCCCAGTGCCATGGGACGGATCTTCCTTGTACATTGGAATACCCACCTGCCTCTGTGGTATTTATTGCACGTTGAATCCTCCCTCGTGTTCTTATTCCTGTCCTCAGAATAGCTTTGAAAGGGAAGAGGGATGCCAGTTTTTGAAGGTTCATTGAGTAGAATGCTGGTAGAAATTTACCATGTGGATACATGTTCACCATATCTCTCCTCAGTTCTGCCAAACCTGTCAACAAATAGGTTTACAGCAGCTTTGCTTATATTCTAAATTTGAAAAAGAAAACAAAACAACAACAACAACAAAAAAACCTGGGAACTTCAGCACTCACCACTAAAGGGTTAAAGAATTTTTCATGCACCCTTGAAGTAGAACATTTACAGGCTTTAGAAAGAATTAGGTGGGCGGCGGAGGGTGGGTGGTGTGCCTGGGTAGCTCAGTCAGTTAAATGTCCAAGTTTAGCTCAGGTCATGATCTTGAGGTTTTTGAGTTCCAGCCCTGCATCAGGCTCTGTGATGATAGCTCGGAGCCTGGAGCCTGCTTCAGATTCTGTGTCTCCCTCCCTCTCTCACAAATGAAAAATACTTAGATTTAGACCAATATGTATATGAATGGATAGAAATGTCCCACATATATGAGAATACAGGCAAGATGTCACATTTGAGCATGCATAAAACAAAGTGTGTGTGTGCGTGCGCATGCTTGACATCTTTATGTAATTATAAAATGTAAACTGTTTTTTTCTGGAAATAATCACCAGAAAGAGAACAATAAGGAATTACTAGAGATGGTGGGAAAGGAAGCATACAATCATTTAACTTTGCATTTTCTACCTTTCTGTGCTGTTAATATTATTCAACTGTGTGAATTTTCTTTTTAAGTCAACTAGAGTGATCTCCATAGTAACACGGGCCTTCAAAAAAATTTTTTTAAAAGCCTTACACTTATTTGTACTTTTTCCTGAAAACCCCCCCCAGGAGTAGGGAAGACAGCTCTGTTTATCCTGCTGAGGGAGATCCCTGTCTGGCCAGTTAAGAGAACAGCCAAAGAACCCAGCCTTCTGTAAGACCTCATCCCTCTTGCTGCCTCCTTAGGGTGATGATGTTAATCTATCCTCCTAACCAAGAAAAGTCTGTGAGTGGAAGGGGGTGCTAACAGGACCATGGAGAACAAGCCTGAATTGAGAGGGTTCTGGATACTCCGCGACCTTCTGATTTGTCACCTGCAGCTTGGCGCCCTTTTTTACTAACTGCAGAAGGACTTCCCGTGATGGCTCACTGTGGTTTTGTTTTTGTTGCAGCAAAATCCGTCAAGGTGAAAATCAAGCTCAATAAAAAAGACGAGAAAGGCCGGGACAAAGGCAAAGGCAAGAAAAGGCCGAATCGAGGAAAAGCCAAGCCCGTAGTGAGTGATTTCGACAGCGATGAGGAGCAGGAGGAAAACGTAAGTGGACCAGGCTTTGACTGAGGCCCAGAAGCCCTCTCCCTGCTTTACCTCTTTCATAACCCTCTTTATTTTCCAGAAATGGAAACACCAAAACTTGGGGAGATTTTGTTATTGAGGGATGTGAACTAAAGCTGCATGATCTAGGACAAAGAATCGCGGGCTTTGTGTTTAGGGCCTTTTTCATTGTCTTCAAAAATGAAAAACTAGTCAATTGTGTTTTCTTTCCTCCTTTCTTAATCTTCCCGTCACTTCCCAACACAGTTTTCTCCATGGCAGGTTATTTTTCATGGTGGAAAAATTCAGGAGCACTTATGGAGCCAGGCCCTGAAAGAATTACCTTCCCATATGATCCATAATTAAGGTTTCTCTTACTTGCAACATAGCCCAGAAACCAGGGCCAAGGTTCCATGTGCTTACCTCCAGGTCATAGTAGCAAACCGCAGAAGTTGAATTCAGACCCAAACAGCACAACACCGTCGCCGAATCCTGGAGGCAAGTGGCATTGCTGGCAGAAACTTCCGCCACCGGCCTTGGGAAATCCCCTCCACTTACTCACTTTCCAGAAGACCTCAGGCTATCACTCGCCCCCCTCTTTTTTCTTCTTCTGGACAGAGAATTTAACGTTTTGGTCCGTGTGCTGCAGGGCACCACCATTTGGGTCTGATGAAAACATTTGAGAATTCTTACCCCAGCCCCACACCCAGCCTTCACCCTTGGCCCAGGCTTTTCGAATACATTTAAAATGCTGTGTTTTCTTTAGAAGACGTCCCCGTGAGTAGACATCCAACGTATGGTACTTTTGCCTCTGGTGAATTTTCCAAGCCCATAGTGTTAAAAATAAGAATTATCAGCCTTGAACTTTTCACGCCACAGTGAAAGAAAGCAAGACAGTAGTACAGATGGTGGGAATTGCTTTGGGATTTCCCAGCGGGGGCTCCCCTTTTTAGCTTGAATTCCTCACAAGCGTCTCGCCATCTTGACACAGAACGAAGAGACTTGGGTTGACTGTTTCCAAAATGTCGTGTCTTTTCTGCCTTGCCCTCGGGATGGTTTATTGCTTCTTTTTCTTAGGTGTCATTTGCTTCATTTTGTCTTATTTTTAGGAACAGTCAGAAGCAAGCGGGACTGACGATGAGTGAGGAGTACGGGCCTTTTTTTCCTCGGTAGAACTGAGTTCCTTCGTCCCCTCTCTCATTTCTGCCCAGTGAGTTCATTTGTCCTATGGGCCCTGGGTTGTTTCTATAGCATCTTCATCTATAAACTAGCTTTAGGATAGTGCCAGACAAACATATGATATCATGGTGTAAAAACACACACACACACACACACACACACACAAATATTTGTAACATATTGTGACCAAATGGGCCTCAAAGATTCAAAGATTAAAACAAACAAACAAAGCTTTTGATGGAAAATATGTGGGTGGATAGTATATTTCTATGGGTGGGTCTCATTTGGTAACGGTTTGATTGTGCCTGGTTTTACCACCTGTCCAGATGAGAAGATTTTTTTGTCTTTTTGTAGCACTGATAACCAGGAGAAGCCATTAAAAGCCACTGGTTATTTTATTTTTCATCAGGCAATTTTCAGAGTTTTTATTTGTTCGGTATTGTTTTTTTTTGTTTGTTTACACTGTGGTACATATAAGCAACTTTAATAGGTGATAAGTGTACAGTAATTAGACTTCACCTGCATAGACATTTTTCCATTTTATGCTCTATGATCTGAAAAAAAAAATGCTTTTTGAACTGTATACGATTTATGTCTACTGTAAACATTGCTGAATTTTTTTTTTTTTGCTCTTGATTTCAAAAAAAAGTTTTGTTGAAAACGCTATTGAATATTGCAATCTCTCTAGTGTATTGGATGGCTTCCTTTGTCAGCCCGATCTGCTATGTTACTGATGTGTATCGTCTCCTTCTCCCTAAAGTGTACTTAATCTTTGCTTTCTTTGCACAATGTCTTTGGTTGCGAGTCATAAGCCTGAGGCAAATAAAATTCCAGTAATTTCCAAGAATGTGGTGTTGGTGCTTTCCTAATAAAGAGACAATTTAGCTCCACCAACACTGCCTCTTGTTTTTTGAGTTCTAGGGGATTGAAACCGTGGTGCCTGAGTGAAGGTCTCCTGCAGAGGGCTGGGCAGTCATAATCAGCAAGCCTGAGGCTTGCGAGAAATAAAAAAATTCCAGTGCGGAAAGACCTAATTTCAAAAGAATGTGGTACAGGTCGCCAATAAGAGACTTACCCACCAAAACACGCCTCTTGTTTTTTTGAGTTCAGGACAAGAAACCGCTTGCCTGAGGCCCTGGCAAAACGCCTTAATCCTGAAGGCTTGGTGGGAAGCGGAAGACGAAAGTGTCTCCTGGAATGAACCAGGTTTGTCTCAAGGGAGAGCCCATTGCTTTCAGGACTTTAATCTCAAGCAACAGGAGACATCTGGTGCCATGGACCAAGCCACACTAAGCCCCTGCTCACCCTATTCTAGTGCTTTAAATTCTGTTTACTAGCCAGATAATCTATATGGTAATATAGATTTACAGTGTAATAGGGTATGTAATACTTATATATTAACATCTCCTGATTTTTCAAAGATTTCACAGGTGTTCAAGAGAACAAGACCAATTCCATGCGCCCATATACTCTCCTGCTAAGATTCAACAACAGTCAATATTTTGTCCCTCTTTTTTTTTTTCATTAAACCACTTTGAAAATAAGTCCCAGCCATCATGACACTTTACCCCTAAGCACTTCAGCACAAATCTCCCAACGATTCAAGCCATCTCCTGGCTCCCACAATCCCACTTCCATTCCCAAGGGAATGAACAGTAGCTTCCTAGTATCTCATGGGTAATCTCAGTCCCATTTCCCCAACGGTCCCCAAATTGTCTTGCATTTATTTGTTCGCACAAGTTTTCAAAGAATGCCAGAACTTCCTCTCTTATGGACCTCATTATGACAGGGAAAAGGTTTCTCTCCTCTCTAATGGGTCGATGAATCAGAACTGCCTAAGGAGAATGCCACGATTCTTGCTTTCTGAACGTGAAGAATCACCAACGGCTCCTACTTGGAATCCTGAAGGAAATCTGACCGTCACAAAATGCATCCTCCAGAGAAACCCCTTTGTCCCTCTAAGTGTCCACTCTGATGTCTGACTTTCCAGTTAGTCTGATCATTACAGCGTGTGTTGAGTTTCCTTTTACTCTTTGTTTAGAGTTTGCTGGCCGCAGTAGGATTGGAGACTCCCATGTAAGAATCAACTGTATTAGATTTTGTTACTGAATGATTTGGTTTCAGTTCAAAGAGAAGAGTCTCATTTCACTGCTACCATTTCTGTTTCCGATACTTGATGTACAAATTGGAATCTCTTCTCAGCCTCGGAGGCATTGCTGCTCTGAAGCCATCCAGACCACTGCCTTTATGCTTCAGAATTTCTGTTGTGGAAGAATGTTCTCTCTTTCTTACTCCCCAGTCTTTGGTGTGTTGTTCTCCCTGACTTCAGCAGACAGGAGAGGTGGTCCACAGAACAGTGATAAGGTGGTAGGGAGAGTGGGCACGCATTAGCAAAAGGTAAGCCATCCTACACTGGGGTGCTGCTGACTTTTTATCCTCATCGTGACCGCCATTCGGTTTAGCTCAAGTAGCTGAGCCCGTAGGTGGGCTTAGTTCTTTCTAAGGTCTGTGGTTTACTAGGAATGCAGGAAGGAAGCTAAGACTGTAGAGAAATGTACTGGATCCCTTAATGGGTTTATTTAATTATAGGAACTTTGTGAAGAAGGCATTTTTTTTTTCAATTTATTTTTTTTAATGTCTACTTATTTTTGAGAGAGAGAGAGACAGAGCATGAGTGGGGGAAGGGCAGAGAGAGAGACACACACACACACACCATCTGAAACAGGTTCCAGGCTCTGAGCTGTCAGCGCAGAGCCTGACAGTGGGCTCGAACTCATGAACCGCAAGATCATGACCTGAGCCGAAGTCGGATGCTCAACCGACTCAGCCACCCAGGTGCCCCAAGAAGGCATAGTTCTCATTCCTCTTTTACAAGTGAGGATCATGCAAACATGAGACTGAATAGCTGTGGCCAGGGCACCAAAGCTGAATTGGCAAGTGAGACTCTAGCTCCCGGGCCTATGTCTCATGCAGCTTCCCTACCTCCCCACCCCAGCAAGGGAGATACAGAACTGGTCTTGTTGATGAGCCCCACACACCCGTTTGCTCTGCGCTGGCTCACACAGCCAGGCTTACCCATCAGTCTTGACTCAGTTCTCTAGACCCCCTGGCTCCACTGGAAGTTGCCTCTGGGACCCCATTTCCAGGGCTGGGCTCCTCTACTACCCTGGCTCTTCCTTCTCAGTGACAAGCCACTCCACAAGGACCAGGACCTTGTCCCTTAGACCCCAGCGGATGCGGACCCTGCTACTGCCTCCAGGCGATTCTGATGTATGTTCCAGCTGACAAAGCGCCACTGGCTCCGTCACCTTCTCAATCTCTATTATTTCCCTCCCGGGCGATGATAGGAGGCCATGTTGAACCTGGTCTTGATGTACATGATTGGTACAGGCATACGCATCCATCACCCGATAGCCATTCTAGTAAAATCAACATAAGTGAGAATAAGTGAAAAAGCCAAGTATTTGCTCCCTGTCTCCCTGACACAGCTTTCCTGTCCTCTATGTGACCAGGAAGCAATCTTCATTTGTGCTTGACTTGAACCTCATTCAGACTGATAACGTGTAATACCTGGGGAAATGTTTTTTGGTCTGCTTAGCAAAAGGATAGAGACACGTTCTTCCCTTATGAATAAATGTACTTCCCATGAGAATTTGATAGTAACAGTCAATCTTCCTGTGCAGGTATCTTGGAAGAATAGCCAAGTCCATATCTCTTCCTGAATTTTATTCAGTAAGAGCTACATCAAGCCAGATAAAGCACCGTTTCTGCCCTTACTCCTCTATACTGTCCGAGTGTATGAATCTCAGTGTTTCAATCACTTAGGGAGAGACCATCAAAAATGATGAGGCGCGGTATGACAAACGATGATGGATAGGTCTAGAACTGCTAGAGGTATGCCCAGGTGAGCTGTCCTCATCACGGGTGTGGTTTAGGACATCGGACTTAATGGAGAGTGGAAGGGGCGTGTTCCAAATGACCGAGCCCTTTGTGTAAGAGGGTATCGTTTTCTGCATCACTTTCAGTAAGGATTTTCCAAAGGGATTTTCTAAATTGAATAAGGCAAAAAACAAAAACAAAAACCTAAGTCAAGAGTATGGGGAAACCAGTTTCCTGTTTATAAACACTGGGTTTTATTATGCACAAGAAAGAGGCCTTTGTGAACCCTAGAAATGCTACAAAGCAAGGCTCACTGTGAGATTCTAAACTTCAAAGAGAATGAATGCAGAGTCCCACCACCAAATAGATGTATTTTTAAAATTCTCTTCCCAAAGCTTTAATCAAAGTTCACTATAAAATGGACATGTGTCCACCACAAATAGTGAAATAATAGCCCAAAAAATTTAGAATTCACCCCCACGAGGGAATCAGCAATAAACCCCTAGGGTCCTATATACCGTCAAAGGCTGGCTCCCCAGCTATCACCAACATCACCTGTTAATAAGACAAGCTGAATTCATCGCCTGGTGCGGTAAGGGAGAGGGCCACCTTGATGGAGCTTTGGTAGTTTGAAAGGGAAGGTCAAGGTTGGATTTTGTTGAAATGTGATCTAAGGTACATCAATGTGGGGATTTGGTTAGAATTGCATAAAGATCACGCTACAATAAATCAGGATCGGGAAAAGTAGTAAAGCAAGGATTTCGAGTGGAGATTCAAAGGATCTTAGGGCACATAGATCACATTTGGTGCTTTGTTAAAGAGATAATGTGTCTTTCAGGAAGTTCACGTCATGAACAATAGTTATTTGCTTGGGCAAGACTCTCCTTGAATACTAAGAGTGTGCTAATGAGGACCATAGAATTTTAAAGTTTTTTTTTTCTTTTTTTTTAGAAAGGGAGAGAGCGCACACGCACACACACGTGAGTGGGAGAGGGGCAGAGAGAGAGAGAGAGAGAGAGAGAGAGAATCTTAAGCAGGCTCCACACCCAGTACAGAGCCCAACATGGGGCTGCATCCCATGACCATGGGATCATGACCTGAGTTGAAATCAAGCGTCAGATGCTCAACCAACTGAGCCACCCAGGTGCCCCTAAAGTCATTTTAATGTTGATAGTAAGCAGCAGGGTGGGGGGTATGTGTGTAGATGTTCCTATTTTTTTTATTATTTTTTAAAATACGATACTATTCTCTGCACCTTGCCTTATTTTCTTCCAAGGCAACAGAGATTAAACTCATTTAAATTTTTTTTTTCTGGGGGTGCCTGGGTGGCTCAGTCGGTTAAGTGTCCGACTTCAGCTCAGGTCATGATCTTGTGGTCCATGAGTTCAAGCCCTGTGTCGGGCTCTGTGCTGACAGCTCAGAGCCTGGACCCCACTTCAGATTCTGTGTCTCCCCCTCTCTCTGCTCCTCCCCTGCTCATGCTCTGTTTCTGTCTCAAAAATAAAGCATTAAAAAAATTTCTTTTTAAATAAAATTTTTTTTCTGTAGTGTAAGAACATTTGTTTTCCTGTTCATCTTAAAAAATTTTTTTCTAATACTTACTTATTTTTGACAGAGACAGAGTGCGAGTGGGGGAGGGGCAGAGAGAGAGGGAGACACAGTATCCGAAGCAGGCTCCAGGCTCCAAGCTGTTAGCACAGAGCCCGAAGCGGGACTCAAACTCACAGACTGCGAGATCATGACCTGAGCCGAAGTTAGACGCTCAACCGACTGAGCCACCCAGGCTCCCCGTTCCTGTTTATCTTAAAAGGAATATACGTACATTGTAGAAAATGCAGAAAGTGAAGGATGTACAAAGGAAGAATTCATTGACATACTATCATCCAGAGAGAAGTATTTGTTTCTTGTCTGGCA